GTAATGCTCCTCTGTGTGAAACAAGGCTTTCCTAGAGGTCAGTCCCAGAACGCGAAAGGCACTCCCAAGAGCTTAAATGCAACACTCAGCCTTCGGTTCCACCTGCGAGATGCATTTCTTTGCCTTCTCAAGCAGAAAAACACAGCAGCAAAGCAAATCTATACAAAATGACCAAAACAATGCATTCCACACAGTTCCCCCTCTGGGAGGAAGAGGAGAAGATAAAGAGGTGAGTCATGTTGTTTACTGCTGTACAGGAAAATGCTTAATGGTTGAAAACGTCACTGATGAGCGAGATCGGAAAACCTGAACAGACTAGAAATGAACTTGCTTCTTTTCTCATTATGTTCTGCAAATACCTCTTTGTGATAGATTATAAGCAAAGCGTGTACTGCCAAGTATTTTAATTGAATGATGTGTCATCATATTTTTTAAAGATGCTATCCAAGTTTGCTTCAGGTGGTTTTTTAAAAAAAAAGATAAATACAAATACTTTTTTTTTAAAACATGCCCAGTCAATCCCTGTCTCCAAGATTTATGAACAGCAACAGAGCTAATAAATATCTGCGTTGCACTGTGGTAAAATTCTGCATGGTGTTTGCTCCAAATTCAACAATATTTTTGTAGGACTAGGATGTGTTCCATTATTTTCTGGGTATTTTAAATCTCTGCACCTACTTACTTTCCTTTCTGGCTAAATATAGGCAAAATGTTTATTTAGAATAACGTATTGTGTTCAATTCTACTCGCTTGGTCTCTCCTTGACTATTTTACAGAAAGAATACAAAACAGAGCAGTTACACAAACACACACACACATCCCCCCCCGCACCCTCTCTTTACGGGCTGCTTCAATTCAAAAAAGAAAAAAAAAAGTTTATCTGTGTTAGTCAAGGACTGTAACAAGTGTTTCAGGTCTGTGGTTGAAAAGCAATGTAGCAATGTGGTGAGAGAGAGTAGGTAAGTAGAAGCTGCAATATTCTCGACAGTTATCATCTCTCACTGTTCCTTTCATCCTGCAGCACGCAGGGTGTGGAGGTAAGGAACTACCTTAGTGCTGCAGCTGTATGGGATGTTTGCAGTGCTGGAGGCACAGGAGCCCTGCTTGGTGTTGATAGTGTCATAGCTGCAGTTCTAGGATGAGCTGGTGTTTTGTTTGTCAATGTGGGGCTCTTCTGGCATTTTGGTAAAGATGTCTGAATATTGCCTCTTGATACTATCTGAAGGTGCAAAATAGGAACTTCATCTCCAACGGTTAGCAGAGTTCAGTAAATCATTCTAGCGAGGAGAAGCAATGTTGTTTAACTCTAGAAGGTACAATACATGGATCATGTTCAATGTCATCTTCATTTGGGTACACTACCCAGTACTGCTGTCATCGCTACCAAGGTTACATGGCCTCTGTTGGGCAGCTGCAAAGTTTTTTTAGAAGCAACCAGCAGGGCCAGTTACAGTTTTGGCCTTCATTCTTACAGCTCGTGGATACCTGGGTCTTGGGTCAGGTTTCTGTTCCATGATGCTGGGCTCATCGCTGATGCAAATAATTCTTGGTATTCCTAAGGAACAGCAGGAAGCTCACACGTACTGCCTTTGCTACATGTCTATTGAAAGTGTATGATCTGTGACACACGTACACACGCACATATATATATATAAAAAAGTATATATAGATATACACAAAAAGCATATGTATATATACTCTCACACACCAGTAGCAGGCTCTGTAGCCAAAGCTTTTTGAAAAGTTGTCAGAACAGTTTGAACTATTAATTCAGCACTTAAAAAAAAAGCTAAATATATGAAGCAAAATCTTTTGACACCTTGTCAGATGATAGCCGAGGAAAATGCAGGGAGGTTAAGGGCCTTTACTAACGGTTTGCTGTGGGATCACAAAGGGGACAGAGTATGCAGTACATAGCCTTCTACAAGGAGAAATCCCAAAACAAATGGGCAATCTAGCAAGAGCCCTTCAGTGAGGTAACCTCACCAAAAAGCCGTTTTAGGCTGGAGAATTCAAGGGCATCAGTTTTCACTCTGGAATAGCAGAGCCCTGCCTCAGTGGGACAGCACCTAGGATGGCTCTGTCCTGCTCAGAAAACAGTTTTGGAGCGATTCATCTTTTGCTCCTTGAATTTCTGCCTTGTCTGCCTCCCTCAATCTGCTTACCCAGCGTGAATTCTTGATTAGACAGGCAGCTACCACTAATGCGGCAGAAAGGTAGGAAAAAGATGCTAAAGAGGTGGAAGCGTGTCTGTCTGTCTGCAGTGAGAATCCCTGGCAAAAGTGCCTCTAGTGAGCAAGAGCAGGGCCTGTTGTGTCCAGGGAAAATGCTTGGTGTGGACAGCCAGGGTGCATGTAATATGTGCAGTGAATCGAACATTTACTGTTGTGTGCAGAGCTGTTGTTGAAATGCCTTATTTAAACTAAAGACAAATATTTTCTAGGGGTTGGTGCTGCAAAGAATAGGTTTATGAAGTTATTTCTACTTGTTTTCCAACTGAGAGGACAGAGGTGGTTTGGGGGCTTTTTGTTTGTTTGTAGTATGGTTGGTCCCCTCTTGCTGAGTAAGTACGTACCTTTGTGCTGCTAGAAACACGTACAGGTATTTTCACAAATACTTTTTTTTATTATATAGATTCCTCCCTGCAGCTTTTACTTAGCTAAAAGTGTCTGTGCAGAGTGGATATTGTAATAAATCAGTTGCTAGCATGCAAATACAGTTATTTCTTCTGCTTAAATCAAAAAGATGCTTTTGCAGAGTGTTTGGACTGTTCTTTTTATCAAAAGGCACTAACTTTGCGTTCCATACCAAGAATTCCAGAGCCTCTAACTCTTATCCCAGAACAGGTTTAAATGCAAGATAATCTGCAAAGGATGATTAGCATAAATTATACTCTTCAAAGTTAAATGCTATATAAAAGGAAAAGTTAATCCTTGAAGCTAATTTTTATACTGGGTATTAAGTCAATAAGTGTTTTTCTGAACAGATTTTATTCATGTTTTTTATAGGTTATCAACTAGTACGTATAGTAAAAATGTGGTGTCTGTAACAAACTGTATGTGTAATCAACTAGCATCCACTTTGTTTCCAAGTCCATTTTAATCCAGGATTTAACTGATGAGAGACCTCGTATGTTTGGTTTCAGCCATCTTGTTATTTATTTAACTGAGAGTCTGACTCAGAAGAATTTTCATTTTTACCGCAATTGCACAAGGACGGGAAATGTCGAAGTCTTGAAACTGTGGCAACTTAAGTAAATTCAGGTATTTCATAATCCCTTAGCCTAGAAATGTACACTTCTATCACTGTGAAGAGAGGACTGTCAGCCTTCCAAACTCATAATTGCTTTCAGCCCTAGGAAGCTGCAAGACAGTAGGAACTTTTAAAACCTTATGTGGTTAAAGCCCTTTTGCAACACTAGCTCCTCACAAAGAAATTCTCTGGGCTTTTTTTTTTGTTTATGTATAAATTCTACAATTCTCTCCCAGATTTACATAATGAACTGGCAACAAGTAATAAGGATTATCATCCTTAGATGTAAAATGATTAAAGTGGTAATTCCAGTAGCATGCAAGAATTTTTAAGCATAAAGGTCTTTATAAAATTTGAGTATTCATTACTTGTCATTGCATCTCTTTTGCCTCGGATTTGTGGGAGTTTTGTTTTCTTTCTTGTAGGACACAAAATCCATTTCCTGCTATAACCTGCAAATGTAACCTAACACTTTCCTTGCAGCGCAAGCATCGTGGATGTCGGCGATGCTCTTGGTCCCTACCTGCTCTGTTTCTGTGGCACTTCTGTGGCAGCTCTTAGTCTTTAAATGGGATAGCAGGTTGCTAGGAGAGGCTGTGGTGTTATGGCAGTGACTAGGGGGGTGTGGACTTTCAAACTCAATGATGTGTCTTGTGCTGTTGCCTGAAATTGCAGAGGATTAATCCTGATGATCCACTCAGCTATTTCTGGGTCTGTGCCAGGGTTGTTTTGCCAGTTACAGTTCTAACGTACAAATGGTGGCGTGGCACTGAACAGCATATGATACACTGAACAGTTTTCATCATACTGCATAGTCCCTACAGAATGCTTTAAAGCAGTATTTTTTGATGACTGTTGATGCACTTACAAACTTGGTTACTTACAGCTCCTGTGTGTAAGAGTATTTTTTTGCTTCAAATTGCTTTGCAGACATTTTACTGTGGCCCTGTCCACCCTGAAACATACAGCCCTGACATAACAAGGGCTATGGTTGAACAGGTCCAGATGAGTAAGAGCCAGCCCTTCCCACCAACTGAGCTGCAGTAGACTCTGGTTAGGAAACAGCTGTGCTGTAAATGGACTGTCTAATATGTTGGAAGCGTAAGTAATTTATTAGACACCTCAGAGAGGAGACAAATATTATCTTCATCTTACAGAGAGTGGAATTAAGACAGAGACCTGGTTGTTTCACAACTGTAGCTAAAATTCAGTTTACACGTTATTTTGTGTTAAGTTCAGATCAATTACTTTGAATTAGAAGTCATCCAGAACAGCATTGCACCTAAAAACTTGAAAAATCATTTGATTTATTTGTTATATTTACACATTTGTCTTTAAGCTGAAATTTGAACTTTTTGGAATGTTTCTGTGTAATCAACTCTAGCTTTAGCCCTTCACACCTTTTTGCTATTTAACAAGTATTTTAATAAAAGTAATTTTTTCCCTTAGCCCAGTAAGTATATCAGTGTTAAAGTTCAACTATACAAAGTGCCTAGAAAAGCATTCAGCTCAGTTATTGGCCACTTCATATTTCTTTCAAATCTTTCTTAATCAAGTCTTGTAATAAATAAAGACTAATACCAACATGACAAGGCTGTTTTTTCAAATTGTTCATTTGCCAGTTTTAACAAGATAAAGAAAGGAATACTTAATGTGGACATTATTTTACCAAAAAAAAAAAAAAAGCCAACAAAAACCAACACCCCAAAACAAACAGACAAAAAGGAGGACACAAAGGAACACACATGGAATGATGAAAAGGAACAATGATATTGCACAACTTCAGGTCTCCCTTGCCCGATTTTGATCCATGTAATTAGGTATGTATGAATTCAGCAAAAAATTGTGTCCAGATAAATGTGTAGTAATTTGGGTGAATCTAGAACTGTAGACTGCTTTCAATTCCTTCTGACTGCTACTTAAGAGTTCTTCTCGAAGACAGCAGGTTGCTGTCAGCTGCAGGAATAATAAATAAATAAATCAACATGTAGATTCTACATTTTGCTGACCAATCCTTCAAAAATTATCCATAACATGCACAATTCTTCTTCTATATTGTAAATACACTAAGTCTTCAAAGTACTTGAGTCTTTAAACACAACTTGATAAAACAAGTACTGAAACTATATATGAAAAACAATCAAGAATATTCCCCGATTTGTTGTGGTTAACTTGAGATTGCATCTCATTTTGCAAGACCAGGACTTCTCAATGTATCAGCATTGTGCTGAATGTATAAAAGTCACAGTAGGGTACATTAAAGAAGATAAAAAGGAAAAAGGAAAAAAAAACATGCTAGGTGGAAAAAAGGTCTTTACAGCTACAATCTTTGCTAGACCACCTCTTAACAAGCACATACTGTTTGCTGCAGAAATTAGCTAATTGTGTCATTCTGGCTATAGCAGTACTGTTTTCCCCCTCAACTGCTAGTATGACAGTCTGTGTTTATATAAACTTCGCATTTACATGCAGAACAAAATAGATTTTTCTCGTATCCGATTTTATATCTGTTTGGTCGACTGATGTGTCAGCCAGCAGGGCTTAACAGATACATTTAATACAGGAGACTGAGATACAGTATGTTTATTCTTAACTTCTGATAACCTAAGAACTACAAGAACGAGAGATGCAGTATCCATTTGCTATGATCCAAGACAACCATTTTTAGGGAGAAAAAAGTAGAATAAGTGATCAACGCTAACACTACATTAGTTCCAAAGATTTTTTTTTTTCCAGTCAGGGTAGCTTAACTATTTATTGTCCATCTGGCCCACTTTTAACTTGATCAGGTTAAAGGTGACACATTAAACTTTAAGGACTGTTGTTTCATCAAAACCGAAGCAAGTTACAAAAAACATGAAACCGTAATTTCACTGTAGGACTTGTTTCATAGCTTCGTATTCCGCATCACTTGTAGAAAAGGGATAATGCATCTCAGTTTGCTTACAAGCTAGGAGATCACTTTGAAGTCTGCATATTCCTAACTGCAAACAAAACATAGCACTTTTAACAGGTTATAAATAAACTGGTTTTCAAGCATAGAGCCAGCCCAACAATAACAATACACTATTAAAAAGACCTAAGGCAATGAATTCCATCTCCAATGGAGAAAAAAAAAAAAAAAAGAGAAAAAGAAGAACTGTGCAAACAAGCTTAAAACTATTTCTTTGTGCCAGTGTTATAAAATGTAGATTTCAATAAAGCCTTGACCCAAATGCCAGGACTTGTGAAAAGAATCGGAACAAAACTGGTTACTTTATTTAGGAAATTATCTTGCTGCTAATAAAATTGGATACACGCAGTTTAAACATTTACGGTTGCTGTAACACTTTACACAATTCCTATATATGGGTGTAAGAACAAACATTAAAAGACAACGGTGGGTCAAGGCTTTACATTAAAAATAACAACCTACTTTTCTATAGTCTCTAAAATACTATGTTTTTTCCAATATTTGCAGCCATTCAGGAATATTTTTTTATTTATTTATTAGGAAATGTATACTTTGTGCATGATCTTAATTCCTAATTCCTGGCTCTTTGGGCTGAATGACAAAAGGATCAAACCCATTAAAGTGGATGGTCTCCTTGAAGGTTCAGTGGAGAAACCCTGGCTCAGTTAGTCTCATATGACGAAAGCAGTGCTGCATCCACTGGCTCCATGCAGGATGGACAGGTAAAGGATCTCATCAACCAGTCATCTATACAGTCCAGGTGGTAAATGTGCATGCACGGCAGAAATCGGATAGGGTCCCCATAGACAAAGTCCATCATACAAATGACACATCTGGGGAAAAATAAAAATCGAAAAAATATTTAAGCTGCTGTTACCATACTGGAAATGAAAAGTAGTGTAATACCTACTCCTGGGTGTGTTTGAGTCCAACAGACTTTCAGTACTTGCAGATACTGTGAGGAGTTCTTAGCTCTGTCAGTGCTGGCTCCACCAAGCACTAGATTTTTTTGGCATTTCCTTTGTAGTATGTGCCCATGGTTACAATGTTAGCGAGGGCAGGAAGCCTTCTGTAGGCATGGCGGGGGCAGCTCAGCAGAGTGCATAAAATTAGAAATGGTAAAAGGGAGCCATAAAGCTGAGGAAGTAACATGAAATTATTTCCCTGTGAAGAGAGGATAAAGAGGGGAAAAAACCTCTAAGGGCATGAATTACGTGGGTCAGCAAAGTAAGTTTCACCTGTAAGAGGAAAACAAGCGAGTATAAAGGAAAGAGCCTCCTGCCTGGTCATTTTTTTAATGTAGAAAGCTACATTAAATTACAGTCTGAAGTTACAGTCCCTGAAAATAAGGCAAAACCAGGAGGACAAGATCAGGTTTCCCAGGGCAATATCATAAACCAATGCAACAGCCAACTTACTCTCTGATCTTCTTCTCGGAGCCGTCTCTTCCAGGATCATAGACTCCTTTAGGTAGATGCTGAATAAGGCCTATCCTCTGCGCTATTCTGATTTGTTCCTCTTCTGTCAGCTGTGTTGCTAGCCGAGTCTGGCTAGGAGTCGGGTGATAAACAGGAACAGGGACCTGCTCCTAAAATTAAAATATTTCAGTTAAAAAAACCACAGAGGCTTTCCTAGCGTGTCACAGCACAGTACAGGCAATGTATTTAACTCTTCCTCTCTTAGTCCTACAAGTGTTTGTACGATCTCCCACCCCTACTTTGCAGTTTTGGGGCTCTGATTATATTGAGAATGGGATAAAGAATTGAGGCCAGTATCTTGAGCACAGAGCTGCTCGTGGTTGTTCTCTGCGAAAGCTTTTTATCTCCAGCAGTCACTCATACATGAAATACACGTGCAACAAACTCCACATGACAGCAGGCAAATAAACCTTACAGGCACCTGGTGAACTGCTAAGATACTGAATTGAACAATGTGCTGGCTGAGGAAGAGCCCGCAGTATTTGCAACAAAAAGTAGATTTTTTTTTTTTTTACATTTAGGAAGAATTATTTGCAAAGATGAGGACAGTGCCTAGCGAGGAAGGTTTTATTGGTTCTATAACAACTAAACTTTATGTGAACTGTTCCAGGCCACGCAAGCTCCAATCCAGAACTGCAGATTTAATTCTTGTGTGTTTAAAAAATGTCACCTGGACAATAAAAAGAACAGCTTAAGTAATCCAAGTTTTACATTGATTCTCATACATTAATATGATTTTACAAGTCCTCCCAAGCTCGACTTCAACTGCTATGTTTAAAGTACGTATTTCCCAAACAAAAAATAGGCAACACGTAGGTATTATGCAGTCCTTCCCCTGCCACGTTCTCAGAAGCTTCTTTTGAATACTGACGAACTTTAGATTAGATATTTTCACTAACATTTATATTAACATGGTACTTATTTTACTTGCTTTTAAAGCACTTTTTTGGACGTAAATACCAATTTTGAACAGGAGATACTATTAAGACAGTATTGGCCAGTAGCCATAAATCTACTGTTAGTAGGGAGACGATTTCTTGCAGTCGGCCTATTTTAATGGTACTACTTAAACAGGAAAAAATTCAACTTATAGATGTGTTCTGAAAATAAACCTGGTGCATCAGAGGCACAATAGCATCAATTCAGCTGTTTGAAAAATGCAAAAGCTGATGTTTCAGAGGACATCGCTGCAAAGCAAGCAGACTGCAGGAGCGTGTGCAGCTGCACCGCAGGAAGCGCTGATGCAGCACACATCACCTCCAACAAAGTTCCATTGCCAAACTCCCCCTCTCTCACCACCGACATGCGGAAGACGTGGGCTTTCACCATCCGTGACAGAGCAACCACCTTCTGAAATGTGCGTGTCCTTCCAGAGTATGGACCGCTGTGGGCATCTCCAGATATTTCTAGCAACAGGAACACAGCTGCTTTCCCCTCTCCTGTTCCCTCTTTGCCTTTTGGCCTGCTCCAGCAATGGTCTAGTGCGGTGTTCAACTGACAGCAGAGTTTAACGCATGTAATACTGCGCTTGCAAAACCTGATAAAGCAATTCTTCTTTCACTGCTAGGAAGCATGGCAAGCAGACAGACAGACAGGACTCCTGGAAGGCCGGGGGAAAGCAGCCCGAGGAGCACGCAGCCTCTCGCCAGCCGGTGCTGGGGGTGCCCAGCAGCAGAAGTCCTTGCTTACGAGAAATGCTAATCAAAAATACAAGTTTGCCTGGCAATTATTGTTTTAACACAGTGCCTATCACTTGCAATTCAGCTGTGGGTAGAATTCAGAGTCTTCTCTTCATTTAGCTACACTAGGATTTCCCCCTCTGATTTCCTAGCAGAACTCAGAGGAATTATGAAAAGGTTCAAAAGGCAAAATGCCAGTAAGTTTGAGTAATTTCCTGACTACTCTAAACTGTATTTCACAGAATCACAGATTTCTTCTGGATCAGCTGCCTTTTAATGGTTTATATTACCTAAAGTATTCTCTAATCATTGTTTGGATAGGGAAAAGCACCAGCTGAAGCTAGGGATGACCTGTCAGATATAACAGCGTTCATGAAGTGGCTCTGCAACCTGCGATGCCAGCAAAATAAGCATTTTTTCCCCCCTCCCAAATGCTGCAGACCCTCTGCACTGAACACATCAGCTTGAGGCAGAGCCCGGTCCTGCTTTTATGTTTCAAGAACTTAACACCACAAATTATGAGTAACTTTTTTTTTCCCCCAAGGCTTTGCTATACTTCTTTGGACAGATTATTAAATCAATAGCAGAAGACATTACTGCTAGCTCCGTTATTTGTCACGAAGACGTACAGAACACTTAGCATTTGGAGAGAGACGCACCCTCCTTCCCGTCTTAGAAAGAGGAGCAGTATAGCTAACCACATGCACGGCACAGGCTGGCGCTAATATGGGCAGGAGGGGAAGCTACTGTATGGAATATGCTCCCCTTGGCAAAACGCTGACTGCAAGTGATAATGCAGAAATACAAGGAAAGGCAAAAACAGGAGGAGGAAAAAAGATCCAAGAAACTCTCAGAACGTCTGGAAGTAGCAGTGACAACTGACAGTGAATGCCTACAGCAGAACAACAGCAAACTGATCATCTCAGCAGAAATTACACAGCAAAAGGAAACTACAGTTAAATAGAATCTGTTGCGAGTTAAAACTATCCCATTTGGACAACTCCGAAATGAGAAATGGGTCATGCTATCCAACCGATGACTGCTTCGCTTACGTTTTGGACAGTAAATTAACACAACTTTTAAGCCTGTACTAGGCCGAACAACAACAAAACCTCATTCCCTTGTTCTAGTCTTTTACAGGCGCTTGCTGCAAGCAACCACTGAGGGACTATGCACCTGGGGCACCCATTTCTGTATTATTGCAGCGCCCCTCTCCTGTGGGTGTCGTCTTCCCCGCAGAGACCTGACGAAGAGGGGTCTGATGGACCCCCCGAGGCCCCTTCCCATGCCAAATGCACAAATGCTTTCCCAACCGCCAGTGCTATATGGAAACAATCCTTTTGGCGTCCTGTCCCAGGTTCCCTCCCTGCAGTGCCACCACCCTGCACTACATGTCTGACATAACCAATTAAGGCAGGAATTTGTAGTTGCCAGCTGTGAGCTTCTACAATTTCACATACTAGACAAGAATCTCTTGTCAGATGATTAACTCTGGGTGAAAACGGTGCTGTCTTTCACCATGACATCTTCATGCTTGTGAATATAAAAAATTAGGGTTGGTTTAGCTGCCAAACTGTTGTGAAAAATGCATAAGTTGTACTACTGTAAATAAAGAAAAGGAGTGACTGCTCAATACCCGTGATTGGGTGCACCTCCTTAACACGCTGTTTGGTGGCACTTTAATCTCACCTCCAGATTACTATTCAAAGCCTGCCCAAACAGAGCTAGCAGTCCACTGGATACAAACATACCAGTAAAATGGAAGAACACAGCCGCACACGTTGCAGAGAGTCAAATTATAGGGTACACCAACAATGACTGTTTCAAAACAGTCCTCTCCCCTCCAACAGATAAAAAGAAAAGATGTGTTTATACCTGTATGATTCTAAAAATATTTTAAACTCTTCATTCATGAGAATACGAGAGCCCAGATTCCTCTGACTCAGTTTGTTGAAGTGACATTCGGTATCGCCAGAGAGGTCAAAGTAAGAGATGGAGTAGACTGCATGAAGTGCTCCCTCAACTAGACCCTGACCACCACCCATCAGTCGAGCTGGGCTCCTTCAGCCCCTGGTAGCCCCGCTGGCACGCACCCAGGCTGGCCCCACACGCAGCCGCCGCTGCCACATCACCACACTGGCAGCTGCATCCTCTGGCTTCTCCACTACCAAATCTCTGAAGCATTTTTGGAAGTTAAGCTCATCTGACAATAATTTCAAGCCATCTGTAAGGACAGAGGGCAGCCCTGCCTGTGTGGGTTTATCACTCCTTTGCAAATCTTTCACAGTTTATAACAGCTACTTTTATCAACCCATGTTAAAGCAAGGTCCCGCTCGCTCCAGCGTGGATATTCAAGGGTAACGACGTGAGGATTCGAGACTTCAGTCAACTTACATTTGTAGCTAGAGGCCCCCTGACGTATATATAGAAGAAAGATTGTATTACCCAAGTAATTACTGTTTTACTCCAAAGACGAGCATGAATTTATTGCTCTGGTGTCTCACTTTTCCCTTTATCTACCATGGAAGATGTTTTTGCAGACAAAATTATGAAATACTGAACTTCCAGCCAAAGTCCGTGTTATTTATCATTCGATAAACATGTCAGGCGTTTCAAACTAAGATGAAATTTTATGTTAACTCTATTCCTCCATGTAAAAAAAACTAAAAAAGGCCAAAACAAATAATCAAAACCACATATTAGTGTCAGGCAATGAAATAAAAATCACTTTCTGGCACTTAATTTGCTTTAATCAATTATTTTTTCCCATATGAATTTAGTAATGGTGAAACATCTCAGATGGCCAGAGTCATGGAGATACACAACTTTTTTCTTCTTCACAAAGTAGGTGATGTCAGCACAAGTTTCCCTGGCTTTCTGTGCACAGAAATAATTCATTCCTAATGTTTACTCAGCCCTTAAATAACAGCATTAATTTAGACTCGAGGACTACAGCAGGGTTTGTATCTCCATCTCACCCTGGCTCCTCCTCCTTTGGGGGGGGGGGGGGCGGGAATCATAGAGGGCATCTGGAGGTCTGCATTTTTCACTTCCAATGAAAATAAACAATTTTCACACATGGCTTAAAAGGCCCAGACACTTTGTTTCTGCATGCAGATTCCCAAGCATGCTTTGGGTTCTCACCTAGAGAAAGGAGGTTTCATCAAGTATGATTTTTGTTTGAAGTTTTCTCATCAATGCAACTTACCTTGCTTACTTATGCTGCTGTAAATCTGCTTTTCTCTTGTTTTACAGCATTTTCATCTTGTTTTTGCAAGTGCAATGAATTTGTTATACTCTGAAAACAGGTCAGTGGTAGATCAGAAACTCTTAATCCCTGGATAAAGATTATTTTACCATCCCTCTACGCCACGTACCAGCAGTATGTTATCAGGGCTTTTGTTTGTTTGTTGTTTTTAATAATTGCACCAACATGCACAAATTATCCTTTCAGGAAGGTCAAAGGTGAGATGAATAATTCATAACATCTAATAGTTCCAGAAGTTAAAGCTTCACTGCTGTCCCTGAGATCCTGTCTACAGCCACCCGCTTTCCACTATTGACTGCTTTGCTCGGTTTCCATCTCTAAATTTTCTTCCTCATCTAATCCAATGCTCTCAGTGTGTCTCACCCTGGGATATTTATTTGCATTTAAACGCCAGATCAACAGCATATCTGTTAATTCAGTCCGACAAAGGAGACAAACGTCTTCCTAGCTGTCTTTATCCTAAGTCTTTTTTACATTTTTTTTAAATGCTAGTAGGTATAGCGCTTACACTCCTTGCAGGTGCTGCCTAATTAATTAATGCAAATATAACAGTTCAATCTGAATTTCCAGAGCCGTTCCCACAGCTCTTTTTTGAAACCCCTTCGATATGCAAATGTCCTTCTTGAAACGTGTTGTCTGAAAGCAGCTGCGCTGGTTCACATACAGCTGCATCAGGGCCACATACGCTTTACTGCTCACCAGCCCTCAAACTGCTCTGAAAAGCGGCCTGGCCTTTCTGCAGCTCTAACGGCCTTGCAGCACTGCTGCCTATTACAATGCTCATCGTCACTATACAAATCTTTCAGCCTTGCTGCTTCCCCGTTTTCTCACCTCTAAGGTGAGATGCTTAGTAGGAAGCCTAAAGAACTAATCTAGACAAGAACAACTTCAGTTTATAACTGTGAAGTCAGGAGGTAAGGAAGAAAATCGTGCTTTTTGGTTTTTTTTGCAAAATCCCCGCTGAATTTTCTCTTCTTGCTACTTCATTACTCATAAGGAACTCACTGGGATGACAGTCCAGGGGCCTTTTCTATGAATGCCATTCTGATCTGGGTGAAAAGACTCAAACTCCATCTGTATGTGAATACACATTTTGAAATAATATCCTCCCCCAAGACGTATTACTGTAAAACCACTCGCCATTATAATGTGCATTACACGACAACTACAGCTTACTTTAATAATCCTTAGAATACTACAAGCAGCCTGCCAACTATAAAAGCCTTTTTCTGCCATACAGAACAGCTCATTTATAAAGCTGATTACCAGTTGCTATAAAATCCATGTAATGAAATTGTTACCCAATCTTTTATATTCCTGCTTCCAGGTAGCCAGTCAGTATGAATAACTGCAATAGCTGAACACTTACACTAAACAGTTCTTTTGAAAGAAAAATCCCCTCCTCTCACCTCTCCCACTTGGAGGGGACACCTGGGACAGACAACCAGCTCAGACACACACGTGCACACAAGAGGAGCCGTTCTGGCACAAGCTGGAATCCAAAGCACGGGTTTGTCTAGCAGACCCCATTCACTTAACAGTAATAC